CACGGTCGGCGGGGCCCGGCCGGGTGCAGAGGAGCCCTCTGGTTCTGCGGTGCGCTGCTGCAGTTTCCTGAGTCGCAGCCCCTCTTTCTCACCAACTTTTTTTTCCCGTACTCTCACCGGTTCTGGTTTTCTAGAAAAGTCATTCTAGAAAAAAGATGGAAACATTAAATTAAAAAGAAAACCAATAAACAATCACACCATACGTCTATAAAAATAATAAAAACATTTCTGTAAAATATTTTGAAAAGTTTTTCTATCAAGGATGGTTTAGGGACAGAGACTCTTTTTACCCGGAGGACTATTACTAATACTAGCAGTTAAAGTCACCTTAAGGAGCATTTCCTGTTCTCCCAGTTCAGTTCTTCTTCATATGTAAATGTTATGAATATGCACATTTGCATGAATTGCCTTTGATCTTTTTAACCTTGTTAGGTAGATCACAAAAGAAAACATGTCCTTTGTACTAATATTCAGATAAGGTTCTGCTGATTAATGTGTAACTGGCGATTGAGAATGCGTAACTTGATGCCCTCTTGCTAATGACTTAAATACCGACAATAATTAGTAAATATATGCCACAAGATTACAGTTATCCGTGCACATAGTTTTAAAATTATTTCCACTCAGTTTGATCTTGTATCATAAACCCGACGATTGATTGATTATTTTTGCAGTGGAATGTCCTGAAGTGGTCAGTCTATCTGTATTAGTAGAATAAGTAGTCCTAGTGTAAACTGCTAGGCAATCCAGGGTGCATCATTTCCTTTGTGGGGACCTCATGGTAAAGCTTACTATAAATATTAGGCACAACACCCCGGTAGGTAGGTAAGCATTCATTAGCTGAATCATTTTGACCTGATTCATAGGACATTTGGTTTAGCCAGGACTATTTTTACCATAAATTCAGACAAACAAATCTGCAGGATTCATTTGGCTTTTGCTTTTGTGCATACTGATTTGACTCTTTTTAGATAAAAAGAAATTTCACTGTCAATTTAAAAATATTGAACACGTGCCGTGTGTGCCAAATAGCACACGTTAGCGAGACCCTTTCGGATTGTGCTTCTCGTTGTTCTACCATCTTGCCAGCCCTGGAAAAGATAACCTGCCACGCAGTGCTCCGCTGTCGAATTTACTGTGTGAGCAAGCTGCTGCGTGGGAGGACCAACGAATAATTCATTTTATGCTGCTTCCGCGCTCTAATTGTTTAAGTGCAGTAGTGCAGAAGGTCTCTCTACTGACCCTCTCATGTTTGATTTCAGTGCTAAGTATAAGTGAGCGAATTTTGAAAGTCACTTTCCGGGTGTTTGTTTATGCTGTTTTTGGCCTGTTGCTACTCTCACCCTTGTGTTTCTACAACAAAAGGATTAATTTTACTTGGCTATTCATTTTCCTTAACCCATTTGTCTGATGGCACTTTCCTCTCATCTAAAATGAATACCAGCAGGTTTTGATTTTTCTCTTTGTTCTTTGGACCATCTCAGCTCATTAGCAGGTAAATCAAAACATTTTTACTCGTCACTTATTAAGAGCTCAACGATAATTTTGGAAAAAGCAGATAATGCATTCAAGGTCATTTCTTCATCATCGCGGAAGGATAAGCATTTCAGTTTGCTCTCTTTAAAATTGTTTTTTTTTTTTTTTTTGCTGTTTCAGCTACCGAGAACGTAAAAGGTAAGCAATACAGGTTGCATTGACAGTACTTGCACACACATATGCTGTAGGAACTGCTCAGCTAGTAAAAGAGAGAGGAGCAGGATATGCTGTTGTTTCCTGGGCCCCGTATATTGTAGGGAGTGCCGCACTACACACTGTGAGTGAAGACATGCTGGCTGCCATGGTCTCCCCCAGTTTTTTCTGAAAACCTATGCATAAGCAGAGGCAGAACTAGTTGGGGGTGAAGTGCCTAAGGGAGATCTCTGGGAACTTAAAGTCCCTCCGGAGTGGCAACTTTTAATATTCAACATGTGATTTCCCTACCTACTCAAGCACGTTCTAATTCCTACACCTTCCCCTTTCTTTTCCTTTCTCAAATCCTTACATAAAAAAAGTTTAAGGTAAGACTTGGAAATCAACCCTGAGCCTGCTCAATTTGACTCCGATGGTTTGGATCTGAAGTAGCCCCAGAGGCTCATCTCCTGGAAGGTGGTCCCCAGTGCAGCACTGCTCAGAGCTGGGGCTCAGGGGACATGACTGGATCATGAGGTCCTGGAAACCAGGTGGAGCCTCGCTGGAGGAAGTCAGACCCTGGGAGCATCCCTGGAAGAGTGGCTCTTGTGTCCGCATCCCCTTGCTTCGCTGTCTCTCATCCATGAAGCCACTTGCTCCAGCACAGGCCCCCTCCCTGCTCTCTGCCTCGCCACCATCCCAGAAGCAGAAGAGCCAGGTAACCAAGGATGGAAACCTTGGAAATTACGAGCCAGAATCAGTCTCTCCTCTTGGAGGTTGACTTCCTCAGGTATTTTATCACAGTGGCAGAAAGTGGACTAACATAGACCCCAGGACAGCAACTAAGAGGTGGAGAATGAGGGAAACCGCAGAGCAGCTCAGCTCCGTTGGAATGATCAGAGGCAACTATTAAATTTTAACTCGCCTAAAGTGTATTACTTTGCCTCACTCTTTTCTGCAGGCAGCCCAGACTCTTACTGCCTAAGTAACCACCTGCGGATACCTGGGCCTGCTGATGGCTGCTTTAATTCAGAAAGTGGCTTCACCACTCCCTTCCCCCTGGCCGCGATGATGACTGCGGTTTATAGGGATGGGAGTTGCTGCTGAGAAGTCCACGTTCTGACTCCATCCAGATCCTGTTTCTAAGCTTTGGGGTCTCGTCTTTTCCTATTGTGTTTATCCATTTTCTTGATGGACGCTCAGTGCACATTTCCTTCTGTGACTCTTTTGAGTTTTGAAAAATTCTATTGATTCACTTATTCCTTTCAAAGTGCTCTACCTTTCATTTTCCTCTGAAGTCCTTTCCTGGAACTTCCTTCTGTTAGCTTTTTGACCACCTGGACTGAATCTCTAATTTTCATTCCTCTGTCCTCCATCTCTTTATCTCTAATTCTTAGATTCTAATTTTGGGTGATTTCTTTGACTTTGTCTTCTGACCCTTCTATTAAAATAGTCCAATTTTAGCTGTCATAGCCCTAAGATCTCTGTGTACTTTTTGGCTTACTGACTTTTTTTTGTTTCTTATTTCATGGATACAAAGTCTTTTATTTTTCTAACCATATCAATTATGTATTTTTAACTCTCTCCTACAGTTGTTGTTCTTTATCTTGGTGGATTTTCTCATAGCTCTGATGATCCTGTGCTCCCTACTTAAGAGCAGTATAATATGGATTTGAAATCTGAAGTGTGTATAACTGGACTGGGCTCTAGTTTTAGTTGTTAACATCACCAATATCAGTATT